GTGTGTGTGTGTATGTGTGTGTGTGTGTGCGCGCGTGTGCGCGTGCGTGTACCACATCTTCTTCATCCATTCATCTGTTGATGGACAATTGAGACTTTTTCCATATTTTCACTGTTGTCTACACTCAATTTTAATTTTGCTTTGTTCCCTTCACTTTCTATTATGCGTTTCCAAGACATTTCACCATGTTCATAATTAAAAATGGAAATGACTACATGACTTTCTAGCCTTCAGATGGGCAATAATGGAAGTTAGGTCAATTCCTTGTTTCTTTATGTTTTGGTTGTTTACCAGTCTTTGCTTTTTGAATGGTTATTGCCCTAGAATACTATGGTGATGCTTTTTCACTTTTGTCCCCCTTTCTTCCCTTGGCTGGCACCTCTTCCTCTTTTCCTACTGACTTAGGGATTTCTTTTGAAAGACTTGCTTGACCCTGTGTGCCTTGCCCATAGCCATGGTTTTATCATGGACCCTCACTCCCTGGCCCTTTGACTCCAAGGAGGTGAGTTATAATCTGAACTGAGCCATTTCTCTACTGAGAAGCTAAACAGGAGTCAGAAAACTTCCCTAGGTAGCAGTGGCTGAAAAGCTACCCTGACTTGGGGCTGAGGCCACCATTTTGGATCATTTATGTACTGATGAATCAGAAAGCCTGTGCTGACGGAGGCAGGATGGAGGAAGGTGCAGAGCAAGTGAAGAAAACCCAGGAGGCTCTGAGAGATCTTGATTTCCCAGTTTTCTGATTCTCACAAAGTAGTGATTTCATTGGCTCACAGCTAGCTCCTGGAAGGCCACACAAGTGCTGTGCTCCCAGTTAGCAGCATATTCTCCAGAAAGATCTTGCCTACCTGTGTCTAGGTCACACACAGAAGGGAATTGGGGCCTATGACAGATAGGGACCCACTGGGCAGAGGTGAGCATCACATTTGGTCAAGATGACAGCAAGGACCCTGAGAGAGAGCCCTGGAAAATCTTTCCTGGCCAAGCAGGACCCTGTTAGTTCCGGGAGCTTGGGGAGTGAATAAGGCTGAACCTACAAGAAACCTAGTGGGACCTGGGCGTCTTCCACTGGACCTCGCAACACCATTTTCTTCTTACAGCAGCACAGGGTAGAGATTGATAATATGAGTTCTCAGGCCACAAGGCTTGGGCCCAAACCTCAGCTCTACCTTTTAATTATTCCTTGAGCATGGTCCTCTGTTCCTCAGTTTTCCTATAAAATGGGGATTGAAACAGTGTCATAATCATGAGGATTAAATGGGTGTAACAAAGTAGTCTGCATGTCTGAGAGTTCTCTATGGGTGTTATGGCTGCTGATATTTCAGTTCTGGCAGCTTCTTTCTGGTTCCTATTATTTTCTTAGAGTCCTTAAGTCTCTTCCTGCTGAAATAGCGTAAGAACTAATTGCCCTTCCTCAAATGATTCTTAAAGATTTTATTTATTTGAGAGGGGGAATGACAGAGAGAGAAAGGGAGAGGAGAGAATATGAGCAGGAGAGGAGCAGAGGGAGAAGCAGACTCCCCATTGAGCAGGGAGCCAAATGTGGGGCTTGATCCCAGGACTCCAGAATCATGACCTGAGTTGAAGGCAGATGCTTAACTGACTGAGCCGCCCACGCATCCCTGAGCCTTCTCTTCTCTTCTCTGGGCTTGTGTGAGGTTTGTTGTCTTCACTGTGGTGAAATAGCCCAGAGACTATTGGTTTGTTCTCTGCCAGAACTGAAATAAGCTCTCATCTCACACAGAGTGAAAACCAGTCTTTATGAAGTCATTTGGTCCCCTGTTCTGTGCCCTCATTTAGGGCTCTTCCCTTGCCCCACCCTGCTCAGGCCCCACTAGCCTCCTTGCTATTCTTAGTCATGCCACACCTGCCCTCATCACTAGGGATACTGGCCATTTCCCCCTGCCTAAAACATTCCACTCCAGGTATCTCCACAGCTCCGTCCCCCAACCCTCTATGTCTTAGCTCAAAAGTCACCTTTGGAGAACCGCCTCACTTACCTGTTTAACCCAAACCCCGCCCCAACCTTTTTTTTTTTTTTTTTTTTTTAAGTAATTTCTACCTGCCATGTGGGACTCAAACTCATGAGCCAGAGGTCGAGTTACATGCTCCACTGATGGGGCCGGCCAGGTACCCCTATTGCCATCTTTTAATATGCTAGATTTATTGTCTGTTGGCTGTCTTGCTGAGGAATCTGCCCCAGGTGCCTGGACCAGGGCCTGGTGGTAGTTAATACTCCCCTGCTGTTTGTTGAATGAGTGGATGACACCATGGCACGCTGATCCGGGTATAAAAAGTCTTGGCATTAGTTGAATCCTGGTTGTGTCACTTACCAGTTGTGTGATTCAGCACGGATATTTAACCTCTCTGAGCCTTAGTTTTCCTGTTTGTAACTTGAGACCCACCTCTAATGAGTGCTTGGTGAAGAGTTAAGGGAGACCTTGTGCTGAGTGAGCCTCAGTTGCCATTCTCTCGTTCTTTCCAGTCCTTTCATTGAAATCTTTTTTTTTTTTTTTAGATTTTATTTATTTATTTGATAGATCACAAGTAGGCAGAGAGGCAGGCAGAGAGAGAGTGGGAAGCAGGCTCCCTGCCGAGCAGAGAGCCCGATGCCCTGGGATCATGACCTGAGCGGAAGGCAGAGGCTTTAACCCACTGAGCCACCCAGGCGCCCCTCATCGAAATCTTTTTAAAGGAGTCTCTCAAGCCAATGAGATTGCAGTGAACGTTTTCATTTACTTTTGAATTATAGGTCATTATAAATATTAACAAATAAGACTTAAAAAGGACACCTCGAGGTCAGACGAAAGTACAAAAATTGTGTGTGGGGCTGCAGTTTAAGGACATTTTCTGCAGCCGCCACATGGTAGCAAAACGGTGTTAAGCAGTGCACGAGTCTGCGTCGACGACAGCCAGAGTCCATGCATCGGGAGGTTGTCTCGGTTTGGGAAGAAAACGGTGGGACATGCACGGGCCGGGAGGGGCAGTTCCTCGCTCTTGCCGCTAGGGGTCAGGAGGTTACCGCTTCAGGGTGGAAGATGGGCCCGTCTGGGATTGGCTAGTGTGGCGGTGGGAGGCGGGGTTGGAGAAGGATGCAGCGCGCTGTCGGGCGACTTCCTGGTGAGGGACACCAGACTTTGGAATTACTTTTTCCTGGGGGGTGGGAAGGGGCATCAACGATCCCGTCTTTGTGTGGGGCTGACAGACCAAAGAAAAGATGCCAGTTTGAGGTCAAAGGCAGAGCTGATGACTGGAGTTTCCAAAAGAGCTTTAACAGAAATACAATCTGCAAGGGGTTAGGAGCAGTGCCAGAGTCCTGGTGAAGATTCCCTCACTCCCTGGGGGGTGCGGGGGTGGGGTGGGGTGGTGCTCCTCTCTAAATGCCCCACCCTCCACTTAGGCTGGTTGTCCGGAAGACCCATCTTCCATCCTGTCCCTGTGGTCTGCTGGGACCATTTTGCAGGACCAAGTCTACCCTGGCACAGCCTGGGTCAGTAGGGAGCTCTAAATGGGCCTCTTACACCCGCTGGGCTCCAGTTTCCCCCGTAGACTCATGGTCCCTCCTTGCCTTGTCATTCAACATTTCGGTATCTTCCCAAAACAGCGCTGCAGCTCCTTTCCTAATGAGGCCCTCCAAGAGGCAAAGCTAGCAGGTATCCAGGGCTCACAGCCAGGAGGTCCCTCAAAAATAGGCTGTCTCTTCTTAGTCCCCCAGAGGTTCCCCCCATTCCGGCATTGTGGAGAAAAGAGGAGCCCTTGCCTCAACCCCCAGGAGGAGGAAGTCCTGACCCACAGACGCAGAGGTTAGGGAGGGATAGCTGAGTTCTGGGCCTGGACGGTGGGGACCTCTGGGAAAGCTCCAAGTGGATCAATGATTTCAAAGCCATCTAGGGGATGAGGCAGCTCTCATCAGGCATCCCCTTCATCAGGCACCAGAGCTTCCCAAGTCTTCTGTTTGTTGAGCCCTCCACAGCCCAGGAGAGAGAGGACTGGGGAGTATGATCTCCCAGACAACCAGAGGGTATGGCAGTCACAGGACCTGGGCTGAGTCCTGGTTTGCCCTTTCCCCACTGTGTGACATTGACAAACTACTCAGCCTCTCTGAATCTGTTTCTTCATCTGTCAAATGAGGAGGACAAACCCACCTCCTAGAATTGTGAAAAATTCATTAAGACAGTGCATGTAAAACCCTTAACATACACAAAGCCGCCTCAAGGACAGGAAAACCAAGGCTCTGTGGTCAGCCAAGTTGCCAGGTGTGGTATGGGGGCCGGAGTGCTGTTGTCCCAGCAGAGTGGGAAAGGGCTGTTGGGCACTTGGTGGGATTTGAATCATCACCCTAGGCCTCAGATGGTGATGTGCTTTGTGTCTGCAGCAGGCAGGGCTGAGCCCCAGGCAGGCAGCTAACAGGACAGACCTCTGGTGCAGGAGCCCAGCACCCTCCTTCGCTTGAAGCATGGTGTCCAGAGCTCTGGGCTGGGGGTGAGGCAGGGACCTGGAAGCCTGGCCTACCCCAGCTGTGGCAGGGTGGGGAGGCCTTGCTCAGGAAGGTCACTTTCCCTCTCTGGGGCTCTCTTTTCTGTTAGTGCAGTGCTGGGGCAAAGAAATTCCTTGGTTCTGCATTTGTTCGTACAGCAGTCTTGAAGGCCCCTTGGTAGGCAGGAAAAACTTGGGGCTTCACATCTTGGCCCCCAAATTCCGATGCCCTCAATCTGACTCAGGGTGCCAGGCCCACCAAGCAGGGTGTTTCTCTCAGCTCTTGGAGGTAGGAGCCAGCCTCACAGGCCTCTCAGAAAGGAGGCCCTGGACTGCCACCCAGCACTCCTGAAAGGGACATCAGGGGCCACAGTAAGGCCAGGATATGTGGGCATTCACCTGGATTTCTCACTCCCCAGGCCTGAACTCAGATGTGGGGGGTGGGTGAAAGGAAGAAGAGGGTCAAGATGAGGACTTTTTGCTTCTTTTCATGAAAAAAAAAAAAAAAAAAGAAAAAAGGGCTGGGGACCCTTTTCTTGATTACAGCTGACCTCATGCTTAAGCTGAGAGGCAGGATCCATCCTCCAGGTCCTTGGGAAGAGAAAGATTAAAGGTGGGAGAATTGGGTTTGAGGACTGAACTTAACCCTGCCCAAGATCAGTTTCACCACAGTGCTTCCCTCAGTTCCCCCAAAGCTATGAGCTGGGGCTGGCCTGGCAGGCAGGGGTGGGTGATGTCACCTCTAAGCCCCACTCCTGTCCTAACACACTGTCTCCAGCGTGAGTCCCCAGGTCTTGCACAATGACTCTAGCCCATTCACCATCCTCTCCTCTCTAGGCTTTTACAGATCATTCCCATGGCACATATTGCCCTTACACTTCGGCTGCCCAGAAACTCCACTCACCCTTCAAGACCTTGCTGAAGCATCACCTCCTTGGGGAAGCCCTCCCTGCCTCTCAGCAGAGTTGGAGTCCATGGCACTCACAGGTATGTCAGCCTGGCCTTGGTATTCCTCATTCCCCATTGTAGTGGTTTGTTCTTAGCTCCTTGATTAGACAAGGAACTCAGAGGCAGGCCCTGGGTCTCATTCATCTCCAACGGATTGTTGCATCATTGAGTGAAGTGCTTGCCAATTGCCCATGTTCAGTAAAGTTGGAACTTTACCATACTCCCTGCTCTTGGGTCAGCTTTTTCCCACCTGCCCAATAATGCCAGAGATGAACAGATGTAGTAAGAACCTCCTCTTGGGAACGTTTTCCCAAATCTCCTTCCCCCCCATGTCCCTCTCCCTAATGTCTCTCTCGAGAGTTCTCACTGGCCCTGCCAAAGCGCCCCTGCACTCCTGTTCTCTCAGCCTGGGGTCCCATGACTTACTGCTGACCTCCAGTAAGGCCCTCACCCCCTGGACGACCCCATTCCCTTCCCTGGGGTGGGTGCCAAAAGCAGGCCCAGCTCTCTGGCCTTGCTGTCCCTAGGAGTGGCTGAGCCCTCCACAGCCTCCAAGCAGGGGCCGCAGTGGCTCAGTGTCCGAGCAGGCACCCCGGCTCTCCCCCGAGATGAGGGCCGAGGCCCTTGGTGGCAGCTGAGGAGGCCCAGGGCCAGGCCGGTGCTGGGCCAGGAGACAGGCAGGGGTGGGTGCGGCAGCAGGTGGGGGGCTGGTCAGTCGCTGAGCACAGCCCCTGGGAGCTCATTGGTGAGCGTGTGCCAGCGCTCGATCCGCTTGTCCTTGTTTTTCAGGCAGTCAAACCAGTGCTTCAGGCGCTCACCCTTAGCGTTGATGCCCAGAACCACTCCGCCTGTAAAAACAGAGCCAAGTGGGTAGCGGGGACATGGTGACTCCCAGGGGCCCGCGGACAAGTTCTCCTGTAAGACTGTCCCTCTGGACCCAGTGCCCCTACCCCAAAACCACCCTCTCCAGATTCTGTATGCCAAGGCTCTACTCTCCATCCTGCCCACCAGACTCTGAGGGTGGGCAGTGGTCTGACCACACGCCACACTCTTAGCCTGCCTCCTCTTCCCCTGCCCAGTCAGGGCCCTGGGATCCTGTCCTTCCCCTCTCCGGGACCAGAGCGATGCATGGGCGGGGGGTGAGGGGGTGAAGGACAACATCCTATGTTAAGGGCCAAGGGCTGGGCACAGTTCTACTATGCACAGCCATGAAACTGACCAGGAGTTCAGGGCCACAGGGGCTGAGTACAGGCCAAAGCACTGACCATCATCACCTCTCACCCCTGCCCCACCACAGACTTCTGTGTGACCCTCCCAGGCCTCTCTATTCCTCTGTCACATGGAGTTAGGCTGGATAAGGTCTGAGGACCCCTGTGTCTGAGGGCAGATAGTTTGGGGAAAGCTGGGGCCGTAGAGGACAGGAAAGGAGGGGCTATGGCCTGGATTCAGGGCCACTGCCCTCTATGAACCCAGAACAGGCCATGAAGCCAAACAGCATTCTCACTGTGTGCTCTTACCAATGAAATCGTTGGATTTTCCAATGTCATAATCCCAAACAGTGACTTCCAGGGTCTTCTTGGCCAGGTCCCCATGCTTAATCTCATAACAGAATTCCTGGTGGCCAGAAGAAGAGAGTCAGGGTCAGCACCACAGGGCCTGGAACTTGGACAGGAAGGCTCCGAGGTGTGGCAAGGGGATACATGAGGGGAAGGAGAGAGGAATGGAGGGGAGGGTGGTCAGACAATGGTAGATTCTCACCCACTCCACCCGCTTCTGCCTGAGAGTCTGGTTGGGGTCCTCAGAGTCCCCTACCCTCCTACCTGCTTCTCTGTCAGTGAAGCTGCTCTCTCCAGATCATCCCCCAAGAGCCTGGTTATTGGCAGATCAATACACACCTGCTGGCCTTGGTGTGCTTGACCTCTCTTGGGTCTGACTCTGCTCACCACTCCCTTCTTTGTGCAACTCTGTCTTCCACAGGCTCCTGGGATGATCTGACATCTGGTATCCCCTTCACTCAGTCACTCGGCTCTGCCCTAGGCCCCTCTGCTCCTCTCCAGATGTATCTGCTCCCCAGGCTGAGGACCTGCGGATCCATCTGGACCAGACCTCAAGGCTCTGGAGCATCTCACATTCTCCCATCCCACCCAGAGCTTTCTTCATCTCGTTTGCACCTCCCTTCTTGCTGTTGGGTGCCCTCATCCCCCCTCCACATCCTACCTTGCCACGTCTCATTAATTTGGTCCTCGGAAGAGCTTTGCAGGCTTCCCTGCCCCTCCATCTCTACCACCCTGGCCTGTCTCTCTCCTGCCCCAGGTGGCAGGTTCTCTCCTGGTGACCCCTCCCACCTCTGGGTTCCCACAGTAGCCCTTGGAAAACCCAGTCCCCTCAGTCTCCCCACCCCTAGGGGAGAGCAAGCAGCTTCCCAGCAGCTTCACCAGCCCCTTGTACCTCATTGAATTCAGGGTTCAGGGTCTTCTTCTTTACTGCTGTCTTATGTTTAGATTTCTTGTCCACATCTGGCTTCAGGTATCTGGAATTATAACCAACCAATAAGAGTGTGGAGAGAAGCTATGGGTACAGCTGGAGCCAGCAGGGCTTGGAAGAGCTTTTTGTTCCCTGGGCCTCCTGTTCCTACTTGTCATAAGCTACCCCAGCACCACTCTGTGGCAAAGGTTAGTGGTCAGCTGCTGTGGGAGAAGCAAGTGGTTCCTTTGTCACCTAGACTTCTGTCCACACCCATTTCTGAAGTTAACCACGGAGTCCCCTTCTCCCCTGGAGGTTTTTCCTTGTTTCTGGAAGTCTAATTTCATAAAACTTTCGTTTCCCACCAGAAAAACATTTTTAGCAGAGTTGGTCCCTTGTTAGAGAGGCTCAGAGAGGTAGAGGGACTTGCCTGAGATCACAGCTGCTCAGCACAGGGCTGGTACTCAGAAGCCGGGACAGGAGTTCTTTGCAGAACTTCTTACCCTGTCCCTGAAGAGACACTTGAGAGTGCTTTGGGGGTGGGGACTACACCTGGCACCCTGCTGGGGGCTCAGTACACTGGGTAGGTCAGCAAATATCTGTTGAATGGCTGAGTCCCTAGAAGTGAAATTACCCACTCAAAGGCACACATGTATCAAACGTCTTCCTTCATTATGCAAAACTGTCTTCTGAAAAGGCCATATAGATGAGGCACAGTGCTGTCAACAAAGCTGAGTATCGTTGCCTTAAAAATCCTTGCTGGTTTGCAGTAATCTCTTGAACCTCAGCCTTAGTAACATATTTATGGATGGTCTCCGCAGGCAAGGGAAACAAAAGCAAAAAATAAACTAGTGGGGATACACTAAAATGAAAAGCCTTTGCACAGCAAAGAAAACCAATAAATTGAAAAGACAACTTACCGGATAAGAGAAGATATTTGCAAATGGTTTATCAGACAAGGGGCTAATACCCAAAATATATAAAGAACTTATACAACTCAACATCAAAAAACCCCCAAATAATTTGATTTAAAAATGGGCAGGGAACCTGAAAAGACATTTTTCTAAAGAAGTCATACAGATGGCAACAGATACATGAAACCAGTAATCATCAGGGAAATGCAAATCGAAACCACGATGAGGTACCAACTCACACCAGTTAGAATGGCCGGTATCAAAAAGACAAGATGTCAGTGTTGGCGAAGATGTGGAGAAGAGGAGGGGTGCCTGGGTGGCTCAGATGGTTAAGCATCTGCCTTCAGCTCAGGTTATGATCCCAGGGTCCTCGGATCAGGCCCCGCATTGGGCTCCCTGCTAGGCAAGAGGCTGCTTCTCCCTGTCCCTCTGCCTGCTGCTTTCCCTGCTTGTGCTCATTCACTTTGTCAAATGAATAAATAAAATCTTAAAAAAAAAAAAGTGTGAAGAAGAGGGAACCCTCATTCACTGTTGGTGGGAAATGTAAATTGGTGGAAAACCACTGTGGAAAACAGTATGGAGGCTCCTCGAGAGATTAAAACTAGAAGCACCAAATTCCATTACTGGGTATTTACTCAAAGAAAATGAAAACACTAATTCAAAAAGCTATATCTACTCCTGTGTTTACTGAAGCTTTATATGTAACAGCCAAATGATGGAAGCAACCCAAGTGTCCAATGACGGCTGAATGGATAAAGAGGATGTGGTGCATGTGTGCATGTGTGTATACATGTATGTGTCTGTACGCACAGAGCATATATAGGTGTGTTTGTATAAGCACATGTATACACACATGCACAGCCACTGCAGCAGTAACCGTAAGACCGGATGAGATACTGCTATTTGTGGCAAAATGGATGGACCTAGAGGGTGTCATGCTAAGTGAAATAAGTCAAACAAATACTATGATTTCACTTCTATATGAAATCTGAAAAACAAACCAAATGCACAAAAAAGCAGAATCATCCTCATAAACGGAGAACAAACTGGTGGTTGCCAGAGGGGAGGGAGAGGATGGGGAGGGCATAGTGACATAGATTAAGGGAATTAGAGGTACAGACTTCTAGGTATTTAAAAAAAAAATCCTTGCTGGTTTGAAAGGCAGAAAGTGGTATCTCGTTACTGATTCTTGTTACATAAATAACACTAGTTCAATATAAACACACTACAGAATAGGTACTGAAGGAGAGAGAAATGAAGACAGATCCACACAAAACCCTGTTCTTTAGCAGCTGTAGGCAGTCATCAATAGCTGGGAATTCACAAAAACCGATAGGAAACACTTAACAAAATGGCAGTAAGTGCACACCTACCAGCAATGATTTTAAGTCTAAATGGTCTAAATGCTCCGATCAAAAGACAGGGTGACAGAATCGATAAAAAGGACTTGACTCATCCATATGCTGTCTACAAGATACTCAGTTCAGATTTAAAGACAAAGACTGAAAATGAAAGGATGGAAAAAGATATGCCATGCCAATGGAAGCAGGGCTGAGGGTGAGCAGGAGTAGGGGGGAAGGTGGGGTCGCAATACTTACTGACAGACAAGATAGATTTTAACTCAAAGACTAACGAGAGACAAGGACATTCTAAAATGATGAGGGGGTCAATCCAACAAGAAAATACGATAGTTATAAATATCTATATAGCCAACATTGTAGTGTCTAAGTGCATAAAGCAAATATGAACAGACATAAAGAAGAAAGTAATATAATAATAGTAGGTGACTAACACCCCAATTACATCAATGGGTAGATCGTCAGGCAGAAAATCAATAAGGAAACAGTGTCTTTGAATGGCACATTAGACCAGACAGACTTAATAGACATGTACAGAGCTTTCCATCCAAAAACAAGGCAACACACATTCTTTTCAGATGCACATGGAACATTCTCCAGGACTGATCATCTGTCAGGCCACAAAACATTTAAGGGGTGCCTGGGTGGCTCAGTCATTTAAGCGTCTGACTCTTGATTTTAGCTCAGGTCATGCTCTCAGGGTTGTGAGATGGACCTCCATGTCAGGCTCCACGCTCAGCATGGGAATCTCTCTCTCTCTCTCCTCTCTCTCCCTCTGCCCCTCTCCCTGCTCTCTCAAGTTAAAAAAAAAATACTTAAAAAACTCTACATTTAAGAAGACTGAAATCAGGGGCACCTGGGTGGCTCAGTCATTAAGTGTCTGCCTTCTGCTCAGGTCATGATCCCAGGGTCCTGGGATCGAGCCCCATGTGGGGCTCTCTGCTCAGCAGGGAGCCTGCTTCCCCTCCTCTCTCTGCCTGCCTCTCTGCCTATTTGTGATCTCTCTCTGTCAAATAAATAAAATCTTAAAAAAAAAATCATGGATCACTACATCAAAACTAATGATGTATTGTATGGTGACTAACATAATTTTTGAAAAAAGGAAAATAAAGAAATGAAGGAACTGACCACAGTACAAACGATTACAAGAGATTACTATGAAAAATTACATGCCAACAAATTAGACAACCTTGCAGAAATCAATAAGTTTCTGAAAAACATACAATTTTCCAAAACTAATGAAAAAGATAAAAATCTGAACAGACCAATGGCTAGTAATGAAGTTGAATCAGCAATCAAAAGAACACTCCCAACAAACAAAAGTCCAGGACCAGATGGATTCGCAGGTGAATTCTACCAAATATTTAAAAAGGAGTTAACACCTATTCTCTTTATCCCAAAAAATGAAAGAAGGAAAGCCTCCCAATACATTCTGTGAGCACTGTATTAGCCTGATGCCCTAACCAGACAAAGACACTCCAAGACAAACCCACAGATAACATCACGTTTGGTGAAAACCGAGAGCATTTGTTCTTAGATCAGGAACAAAACAAGGGCACCTGTCATTTTTATTCAACATAGTACTAGAAGTCCTAGGCACAGCAATCACATAAAAAATGAAAAGGCATCCATATTGTTATGGAAGAAGTAAAACTGTCACTATTAGCAGGTGACATGACACTATACAGAGGAAACTCCAAAGAGTCCAGCAAAGAACTGCCAGAATAAGTGAATTCAGTGAAGTTGCATAATGCGTAATTAATATACACAAATCTGTCACATTTCTATGCACTAATAGTGCATTAGCAGAAAGAGAAATTAAGAAAAGAATCCCAGGCGGGGCACCTGGGTGCTCAGTGGGTTAAAGCCTCTGCCTTCGGCTCAGGTCATGATCCCAGAGTCCTGGGATCGAGCTCCGCATTGGGTTCTCTGCTCAGCAGGGAGCCTGCTTCCTCCTCTCTCTCTGCATCTCTGCCTACTTGTGATCTCTGTCTCAAATAAATAAATAAAATCTAAAAAAAAAAAAAAAAAAGAAAGAAAGAAAAGAATCCCAGGGTGTTGAGCCACCTGGGTGGCTCAGTCGGTTAAGTGTCCGACTTGATTTCAGGTCGGGTCGTGAACTCAGGGTCATAAGATTGAGCCCCACGTTGAGCTCTGTGCTGGGTGTGGAGCCTGCTTGGGATTCTCTCTCTCCCTCTGCCTCCCCCACCGCTGCTCAAGCTCACTAAAACAAACAAACCAAAACAAACAATACGGTACTGGTACAAACACAGCCACATACATCAATGGAACAGAATAGAGAGCCCATAATTAAATCCATGCTTATATGGTCAATTAATATATAACAAAGGAAGCAAGAATATACAATGGGGAAAAGAGAGTCTCTTCAATAAATGATGCCGAGAAAACTGAACCACTTTTTTTTTAAACACCACATACAAAAACTCAAAATGGGTTAAAGACTTAAATATAAGACTTGAAGCCATAAAACTTCTAGAAGAAAACATAAGCAGTAATCTCTCTGACATCAGCCTTAGCAACATTTTTCTGGACGTGTCTCCTTAGGCAGGGGAAACAAAAGCAAAAATAAGCTACTGGGACTACATCAAATAAAAGAAAACCATCAACAAAATGAAACTTACTGAATGAGAGGATATTTGCAAATGATATATCTGTTATCAGGCTGAATACCAAAACGTATAAAGAATTTATGCAATTCAGCACCAAAAGTATCCAAAGAAAAAGTGGGCAGAATAGACTGTTTTTTCAAAGACAACACCCAGCTGGACAACAGTCAGGGAAAGATGCTCGACATCACGCAGCACCAGGGAGATGCAGGTCAAAACCACGAGGAGCTATCGCCTCACGCCTGTCGGGATGACCAGTATGAGAAAGATAAGGAGTAACAAGTATGGACAAAGACGTGGAGAAAAAGGAAACTCTGTGCACTGTTGGTGGAGATGGAAATCGGGGCAACCACTGTGGAAAACCATCTAGAGATTCCTCAAGAAATACCAAGGGGAGGGGCGGCTGGATGGCTCAGGCGGTTAGGCATCCAACTATTGATTGCGGCTCAGGTCGTGACCTCCGGGCGGTGAGATGGAGCCCCGAGTCAGATTCTGTGCTCAGTGTGGACTCTGATGGGGATTCTCCCTCTCTAAATACATAAAATCTTTTTTTGACACAGAGAGGGAGATCACAAGGAGGCAGAGAGGCAGAGAGAGAGGGGGAAGCAGGCTCCCTACTGAGCAGAGAGCTGGATGCGGGGCTCAATCCCAGGACCCCAGGATCATGACCTGAGCCGAAGGCAGAGGCTTAACCCACTGAGCACCCAGGCGCCCCTAAATAAATAAAATCTTAAAAAAAAAAAAAAGCAGAAACAGACCCCCATAAACACAGAACAAACCGGTGATTGCTAGAGGGGAGGGAGGTGGTCACAGGGATGGGCAAAATGGGTCAAGGGAGGTGGGAGGCACGGGCTTCCAGTTCTGGAATGAAACAGGCCCAGGGATGAAAGGCGCAGCATGGGGAATGCAGTCAGTGGGGCGGTGACAGTGTTGCATAGTGACAGGTCAGCTACACTGTGAGCAGAGCGCAGTGTGTATGGTGGTCCAGTTACTGTGTTGTGCACCTGAAACGAACGGAACGTTGTGTGTGAACTATACCCGCCTCCCCACCCGCCAGAAAAAAAGGAAAGAAAAAGAAAGTCAAACGTGCTTCCACATAAAGCGAACTGAGCAACAACTTGTGGTGTCTCTGCGGACGGGTACTTGGAGAGAACCACGTGGATGCAAGCAGCTGGATTCAAAAGGCCACATACGCGGAGTTTGCTTTTATAAGAAAGTCTGGAAAAGGCAAAGCCATTGGGACAAAAAACATCTCAGTGGTTGCCTGCGGTTGGGGGAGCTTTCTGGGTGAAAGAAGGTTCTCCGTCTTGACTGTGGTGGTGGGAACAAGATGGCACACGTCCTCATCCTCTGACCTCTGCGAGGGGAAAAACCTCCAGTATGTAAATTCTACCTCAAGGAACCTGACTTTTAATCCAGCCCAGGACCAGGCCAGTCCTGTCAGCCTGGCCGGTGAACACTGAGCAGATTTTAAAACTTCACCACCATTTTGGCCTTGGATTAGCTTTCCTTCCGAACGGGAACTCCAGCATCACAAGTACAAATGCGGGCACTTTGCTGCCCGCCCTCCCTCCCACCCCAGAGACACAGCAACTGTGACATTCTCTGCGGAGTCTGCGATACACAGATGTACAGACACCACCTCATACTGTGCGTACTGTTCCGGAGCCTGCTCTTGGGATCGGCAGGCTTGGAGAGCCGTCCGTGTTCATTCACCAGGTCCGAAGGGATCCATTTCAACAGCACGCGACCGCGTTATATGCACGTGCCGCGTCTTACGACCATTCCCCTGCCGACGACTGCTTGGCTGTTGCTGGTGTCCTGCCGCGACAGCAATGCCACCGTGAACAGCACCTCACCCCTACATGGGTTTCTAGGACCCGGACCTGGAGGGGAGATCATGCAGTCCGAGGGAGTGCACACTGGCCTCGCTGACTGGGTGTTATTGACCTTCCCTCCAATGGTTGTAAAGCGTCTCCTGCTGTTCTCTGGAATGGTCATGGCATTTCCTCACAGTGGTCTCTAATCCACTGGAAATCACGGCTCTGCAAACGGTTGATGTGGGGACCCAATCCCCCCCCCTTTTTTTTTTTAATGTGGAAAGCTGGTAGTCCTCCTGGGGCCATGCACGGGGAACAGCCTTCCCACAATGACCCCAGTCAGCTTCCTATTGTACCTGGCACTGCTCCTGGGCTTGGTGGCCTTGGAGTTTTGTTTTGTTTTTAAGATTTTTATTTATTTATTTGACAGAGAGAGAGAGAGAGATCACAAGTAGAGCAGCAGGCAGAGAGAGAGGGAGAAGCAGGCTCCCCGCTGAACAGAAAGCTCAGGGTTCGATCCCAGGACCCTGAGACCATGGCCTGAGCCGAAGGCAGGGGCTTAACCCACTGAGCCACCCAGGCGCCCCTTGGCCTTGGAGTTTTAAGAAATAACAGCTCTAGGAAAATACAATTCAAAGGTTGTAGAATGCGACCTTTTAAAGCATACAACTGAATGGCTTAGTCCATTTAGAGTTGTGTAGTTGTCACAGTCAGTTCTAGAACATTTCATCTCCTCAGGAAGAAATCCAGGTACTCCCTATCCGCACCCCCACCCTCCCCCAGCCCCTGGCAACTACTAATCTAATCTGCTTTCTTCATCAATGGATTTGCCTATATCAGACTTTCACATAAGTGAAATCATATAAGGTGTGGTCCTTTGTGTTTGGTTTCTTTCAGTTAGCATAATCTTGCAATAATCTTTTCAAGATTCAGAGATGTTATAGCATGAATAAGTACTTCACTTCTTTAAAAAAATTTTCTTAAGAGAGAGAGAGTGAGTGAGCACAATGGGGCAGGGGGAGAAAGAGCATCTCAAGCTCCATATCCAGTGTGGAGCCTGACATGGGTCTCGACCCCACAACCTCAGATCAGGACCTGAGCCAAAATCAAGAGTCAGCCACTTAACCTAGCAAGCCACCCAGGCACCCCTTCACTCCTTTTTATAGCTGAATAACATTCCATCCAGTGGCTGTTTCTCCAATCGTCAGTGGATGGACAACTAGGTGGTTGCCTTCTGTCTACTGCGCATAATGCTGCTACAAGCGCACATGCGCAAGCGTTTGTGTGGGCAGGTGTGTCTGCGTCTCTCGGGTATGTACCTGGGAGTGGGACTGGTAGGTCACACAGTAACTACATGTTTAACTTCTAGAGGAACTGCCAGTCCGTTTTCCAAAGTGGCAGCACCATTTTTGTGACAGGATTTTCTTTATTTCTTTACTTAAAAATAAAATCTTTGGGGCGCCTGGGTGGCTCAGTCATTGTGTCTGCCTTTGGCTCAGGTCATGATCTCAGGGTCCTGGGATCGAGCCCTGCATCAGGCTCCCTGCTTGGCAGGAAGCCTGCTTCTCCCTCTCCCACTCCCTCTGCTTATGTTCCCTCTCTCGCTGTGTCTGTCAGATAAATAAATCCTTAAGAAAAAAATAAAATAAAATCTTTCAAAATAAATAGTTTCTACACCCAGTATGGGACTCGAACCCACAACCCCAAGCTCAAGAATCACTCACTCACTGACTGAGCCAGCTAGGTGCCCCTGTAGTAGGATTTTAAAACAGATAGAAAGAGAACAGCAGCCAGCGGGAATGGTAGCCTCAGAGTCATGCAGTCGGGAGCCCTGGCCTCCCATGGCCTCCGGCACCCGGAGCTCCTCACTGTCCCCTCAGGCCAGGGTCATCCCTGTTGCTGTGTCTTAGCTCCTTTCTTCCTCTACCTAAACAGGAACACCTCCTTTCCGTGGAGCCAAATTCCTCCCCGTGTCCCCTCCTCCGAGAAAGTCTCACTGTGAACCCAGACTAATATCCATCTTTTACTTGCGGAAGGCCCAGAGCACTGATGGCGCTGGCCGTGCCGCCTGCTTCCTTCCTCTCTGAAGGGCCACAGCGCACGCCTTCCTCTCAGAGCGAGGACCACAGCTTCACCTGGGGCGCCTGTTGCCTCGCACAGGTCCCTGACTTCGGGTTTCTCGCCAGCACCAGCGGGAGCCCCGCCGGGAGGCTGGGCGACCCCTTAGCAGCACTGTGCCCGGGGGAGCGCCTTCATGGATCTCCTGGCCCAGGCCCGCCCTCTCCTCCAGCCTGCTACGGCCCCTCCTGAGGTCATAGGCAAGGTGAGGTCTGAATGCAGAGTCGGGAGCGAACTACTCTGTGTGACCTGGGACGCCACTCAAGTTCCATAGGCCTCAGTTTCCTCATCTGTGACCGGAGCTGACCAGCCTGAACCCACAGTGCTGCCGAATGAGCGCGGCAGCCGACATGCCCCCGTGGGTGCGGGTGCCTGCTGTGCTGCCGGCGCCGTCCGTGTTCGCTACGCTGAGGGGACAGGGGAAGGAGATGGCTGGCCTGGGCCACACACTCACGTCTTCACGTAGGGGTCCGAGTAGCCGTTGGCGTCCATGGCAGCCAGGTGGGCGCAGCGCACGATGCCGACCAGCAGGCCCTGCTTCTGCGAGCTGTACTTGAGGGAGATGAGGATCCGACCCCGTTCCTCCAGGGACTTGTCTTCGGTTTTGTCCACCTGTTGGGCAGGAAGACCCCAGCGGTCCTCACCTGCTCCCATGCCCTCCCTCAGCCGTGGGCCACTGAGGTGGTCTGCTGGCCCTGGGGATGGGAAGGCCGGTCACCCTGGCCTCAGCCCCCCGCGGGTGCCTCCTGGAGCCCCCTTAGGGAGCACCCAGAAGACAGAGCTTTGACATATTGCCAACCCCAAGGGGAGCAGGGAGGCAAGTAGGGGCTGTCTAGGCCTCAGGGATTAGACCTCAGCTGGAGGTGTCCGCCTCCACCTCCCTGCCCCAGCTACCCTGAGAGTTTCCATTCCTTACCTTCCTGAGGCCACTTTCCACCGTCTGGCTCCTGCTGTTCTGGAACTCCTTCTCCTTACTCTCTGTCCATCCTTGGACACCCCCAGCTAGAGCCCCAAGGGCCCCTCCTTATAAGGGCCTCTCTGAAGTCCCAGTCATGTCCCTTTGCCCAGACGGTCCTCTGTCACTAACGTGATGCCCCATGGGGCTCCTCAGAGGTAGGAGCCATGCCTACACCTCTCTGAAGGTGGGGCTCCTGGGAGACCAAGGGAGGGCCACCTTCCCCAGCTCCCACACCCGGAGCAGACAGGACTAATTGATGCGGCATTTACTCTGAGTTTAAATGAAGCCTCAGCCCCTCTCAGTGCCAGCCGCTGTTATTAATGGACCTGACTGGGCATGCGAGATTCAACGACCCGCCACTCTGGCCTAGGGCTTTGTGTGGATAGCCTCCCTAAACAGTGATCTCGTGCTAGTTTGGGGGCAGCGTGAAAATTAAACATCATAAACAAGCAGGAGTGTTTTCAACCGTCTTTCTAGGGGTAGAACGTTATACACTGGGTCATTTCCTAGGAAGCCCGTGGAACTGGGCGCTGTTCAGTCCTCACTGAGGACTAATGTCCACAGACCACGCAATCTAAAATGTATCACCGAAGTGTCTTTACGGTCAGGGCAATCCCTAAACTGCACTCCCGCGGTCACCATATGTCGCCGGGTCCAGAGCGATGAGCCACGAGCAAATTCAAACAAGGCAAGCCCACATTCCCACCCAGCCACGTGCGGGAACACACACGTGTGCACACACATTCTGCATCCCGGAAAACACGCCCATGTGCACTTTCACACACACACATACACACCCCTGCGCGCTCCCGTCCCCACACAGCTGTGTGTCATGCTGGGGTTCAAAACTCCAACACCACTACAGTAGGAGTTGACGGTGTCTTCTTCAAGTGACACAGATCATTCGGAAAAACTGGGTTTTGGTTAGTGACAGATAATAAACTAAAAAAGGTTATACCCATCATACAAATGTCTGTGAGTAGGAAAGAATGTGACGACGGAATAAAATTTGATCAAATCATGCAAAAAGGCAGAGCTGGGATTCTGGCTTCAGGCCGACTTGTTCCCAGGGCTGGACTCGGCCAGCCTGCACCAGCCACATGTGCCAGCGCCCAGGCCCCACCGGAGAAGGACAGGTTGGCCACTGGGCTCTGTCCTCTTGAGTTTCCCCTTGCCCAGGCCTCTAGGGGGGAAAATGTCCTAAAAAGGGGATTGTGCCCTGAAAACGGGGCTGCTGGAGGCTGTCAGGACCCTGGGGCCTCTTGGTCAATGCCTCCCAGCCCTTCTGAACAGGGCCAGGCCTCCCAAGAGATGGGAACAGGGAGGGGGAATGAGGAGGGGGGGAGGGAGGGGAGGGAGGGGAGACACAGATGGACAGTGTTTGGGTGGGCTCAGCTGCTGCAGACAACAGGAAGCATGATTGCTTTTGACATTATTTTTTTAAAAATTGCAATTTCTAGGCAAGAATTATTTTCTGTCTCCTTGAGGTAGCTCACAGGCACCTCATGCCCATCCTGTTCTAGTCGAGCTCCGGACATCCCCAGCTGCTCCTCCGCAATGAGTGACTCCGCATCTGTCCAGGTGCTTGCCCCCCCATTCTGGGAATGCCTGATCTGCCAGCACACTCCACCAGGATCCCACAGTTCTCTCCCTCCGCTGGGCCTCCGGCCCAGGTTGGGTCAGCTTCATCCCCTCACAGCCCTCCCCACCCTCAGGCTCCTCTCCCTCTCAGCATGCACCTGGAGAGAGCTAGTTAAAATAGTGAGAAACCCTTGTCCCTGCCCAGCCTCACCCAGAGGCACAGCTCGCTCCCGGCTCCCCAGCCCACCCTCTGGTCCCCCGCTCCTAGGACCCAGTCCCATCCTGCTCTCAGCCCTCTGCGGCAGGCGTCTTGCTTGTGCCTCCCACAGGCTTACCACCTGCTGTTCCCTCTGCCAGGAGCAGCCCCCAAACCTCCATCGAAACCACTGAGCTCTCAGGCTTTCCTTCGTGACCCCGCGCACTGTCTCACGTGGGCTCTGCTCTGCCTGGGTCATTCACCTCGTCTGGAGTCTGTCTGCTGCCCAGGCCGCGTGAGGGCGGGCATTCTGGTCTGTGACCCCGCACCTGAAGCCGGGCCAGGTGTCGAGTGGGCGCTCCTGGCAGGCAGGGCCCCGCATGGCCTGTGGGGCCCCATCACCCACTCACCGGTAGCTGCTTCTCCAGGCAGATGCTGAACGTCTTGGTGTGGTTGGCCTTTAGCTTCTTCAGGGGCACACGCGTCTCCCCGATGAACTCGTTGTGACGGAATTTGTCCTCATCGCACACAGAGATCCTGGGGGACAGGAGGCACGGTCAGCTCTTCAGACACACGGGGGGTGGTGCTCCCACTTTGCTTCCAATGTCAGTAGGGATTTGGGGAGGCTGTGGGGGCGGGTGGGAGGTAGGGCAGGGCCCTGCAGGTGAGGGGTGTGGGGAGCAAGGAGTCTGGGGCCCTCACCCACCGCAGGGTCTTTCGAATCATGTCTTCGTCCGTGATCCCGTAGTAAGTGAGGGTCTCATTCCACGTGGGATTCAGAGTGTTTCGGAGAGTCTTTGTTCTGAGTTTATTTGCCTGGTGAGAGCGGAAAAGGTGCTCTTGGCATATGGGAGCTCAAGAATGACAGCCCCAGATGGCCTTGCCTGGTCCCCCGGAAACTGAATGTGCCGAGGGGAGTGAAGGTTGTTACTCGTTTTTTTTAAAGATCTTATTTATGTGACAGAGAGTGAGCACAAGCAGTGGGAGCAGCAGGCTTGTCGCTGAGCAGGCAGCTCGATGCGGGGCTCAATGCCAGGACCCCTGGGATCCTGACCGGAGCCCAAGGCAGACACTTAACCAAACTGAGCCCCCCAGGTGCCCTCAGCTGACTTTAAAATACGGAGATTATCCGGGTGACCTGGGCAGGGGCAGGCCTCATGCAGTGTGATTACAGGGCCCTGGAAAGCAGAAGAGGGAGGCAGGAGAGGAGCATCAGAGGGACACATAAGGACAGAAGTCCCAGGCGGACCCTGGTGTGGAAGACGGAGGAAGGGGCTGAAAGCCAAGGAATGCAGGTGGACTCCAGATGCTGGAAAAGGATGGGAATCACTTCTCCTCTAGAGCCCCCCGACGGGACTGCAGCCCCGCCACACCGTATGTGACCCATGCCGGAGCTGGGCCGGCCTCCAACCTGCAGCACTGAAGACAGGACACGTGTGTTGCAAGCCACTAAAAGTTGGAGATAATGGCAGCTCTTGGAACCTTAATACCAGAGGCTCCCCACTGCCAGACCCCAAGTGTGTGCTGGTGGGGGCAGGGGGTTTGCAGGAGGGGCTGGGGCTGCTCTCCCGTACATCTCCTTGCTTCTGCGCAGGCAGAAAATGCTTGTGGGATGGCATGTCCCAGCTGCCCCACTGCCTCCCCTCCTTCCCCTGTGCTTCTCTGACTCTCCGTCCTGCCCATTCAGACTCAGTGCCATGACTGCTTCCCCTCACGAGGCTCTGCGCACCTATGTCCCGATCCCCGCTCGGTCACCTGCCGGAGCTCGGTGCAGCCCAGCAGCTTACTCCCCCTCTGCGAGCTCCAGGCTCCTGCTGTAGGAAAGGACATAATCATCCCTCTTTCTCAGCGTGGTTTTTAGGAGCCTGCTTTATCAGGAGTCTGCTTTGTAGAAACCACTGCCCTATGAGGGGAATCCTGTCTGTGTGGGAGGGTCCCTAGGACTCAGCCTTCTGGTATTGCCTGTTCTAGGGGCCTTGAGTCTAGGGACTCACAGCCATTGAGCTCCTGAGTTGGGGACACTGCCCTGGTCACATTACTCTCACAGCCCGGGGACTCCTACCTGCAACAGGGGGCCATCGAGGCCTGGAGCCGTGAGCAGCTTCCCTAGGCTACCGCCCTGCCTTCCTGGAGATGGAGTCATCACCTGTCAAGGGCCCTCCTGGACTGGTGGGGAGCCTCGGCCCTTACACATTGGCCCAGAGGGTTTGGGCCTCGGACTCAACTCGGGTCCCAGCTCCTCAGCTGGCCTGGAAGAGTCCGTGGCAAGGGGGGCCCTCTGCCCAGGACGGCATTCCCATTACAGACTCTTGTCATCAGCCCACTTGAAGGGATCCCCCAGCTCTTGGTCTTAGAAAGAGGCTGAGATGAGAACACCAGCCATTGGGCTCTGCTCCTCATGCTCCGATATCCTCCGTCCCATGTCCCCCTGCCTCCCTCTGGTCTCCTCTCGGAAGCAAAGCTGCTAGTCTCCCATTGACCTCCATCCCCTCCCCAGCAATGGGGTCCACATAACCTGCCCCTTGAAAAGTGTGGGTCCCAGACCCAACTCTGAAAAGATTATCTAACCCTCCCTCCCATGAAATTAAGATTTAAACACCACTGACCTGTAAGACACATGTAAGAATGTCTAAATAGTTTTGACCTTTCAGTGCTGAAGGTCACCTTGATGCTTTTGTTTAATAGCAAATCTTTTCTTAAAAAATGTCTTTTTTCCTAGGCACCCCACGTGCTTGGTCGGGCTGCTGGGTCACCTAGTACAGGAACAAGGGTTCTGTGGCCCAAGAACTGGGCAGAATCTATCCACTCCATCCCCCTTTGTGGGGTGTCACGGGGCAGCCCATCAACATGTTAAAGATTCTGATAAGTCCTAGAGTAAAGGAACCTGTTTAACAAGGCTTCCTGGTGTTATCTGGCCACAGAGCCCTTTATTCCCCCACGCATAGTAACCTCCAGCAGAGTCTGCTTCTTATAAAATGCTGGCCTAGAATTCTCTGGAGGGTTTCCCCAGTTCATCAGGCAAGTAGTGCCGACTGGAGGGTCCCAGGAAGCCTAGGGGCTGTGGGGCTGGCCAGGTGCGCTGAGTGGTGGTGAGTCACTAAGATCCCATCAGCTGGCTTGGTCTGGGAGCGGGCACGGGAGGTGTGCGCCTCCCTGCTCGTGCTGAGCTCAGCCGGGGCCCTAGGCACTGCAGTCAGTGCTGTTTGGCAGGCCCTGGGGCGGACCCTCACCTTACTGGCTCCTGGAAGCAGGTGCAGCTTGACGTAGGGGTCTGCCAGCCCGTTGTGGTCCATCGGCTTCAGGCCCTGAGTGGAGGGGAATGGCAGAAGGTGTGAAATGGGAGCTGGAGACACGGAGAGCAGCCAGGGCCTCCGGGCACCTCGCTGGGCACGCACCCCTTGTCCCCAGGCCCCCTGGCTGGGTCCATTCAAGACCCTCTTTGCAGAGGTCCCCTGGAGCCCACGCTCTCAGAACAGGGAAGATGGCTCAGTGCTGGTGTGCTCCCCCTTCCCCCCAAATGTCCTGGCCCTGGGACAGGGGTCTCAGGGTGTCTTTGTCAGACCAGCCTTTCTCTTTCTAGTCTCCCTTTCGTGGAGGCCAAGTGACTCCCCCTCTTCTTGAGGAGGTCCTCATTAGCCTGCTTCGGGGAGGCCCTTCTTTCTTCCAGATTCCCCTTCCCCCACTCCCCAAATAGGGGACTTCCCTCACTGACCCTACGTCCACGTGACCCTCCGTCCACTCACCGCCAAGGTTCCCCTCTTTACCACAGGAAATGGTTCTGGGTCCTGGAGACCAGCCTCAGTTTCTCTCTGGATCTGCCACGGCTCCCTGCTGGCCTGAATCCGAGGAGCCCAGAGAGCGTGGCTGGCCACGGAGGGTCCCTCCACAAGATGGCACCCCTCACTAACTTGGAACGACCAGTCAAGTGCGCACAGCCAGGGAACCAAGGGAACTGAGAACAGACGGGGGCTTAGCTGACCTCATGGCTGCTCTGAGCTCTGAAAATTGTGCTTTATCTTCTGCGGTGGTTCGCAGGCATGCGGGGCAGCAGCATCACAGAAGAACTGCCCAGCCAGCCTCCCAGGAGAACGGAGGCACTCACCCCCAACCTTGGTTTGGTCTGAAGAGCGTGGGGGATAGAAGGGGCTGAGACAGGAGGTCAGGGCCTCCAACGCCCCCTGCTGCTCTGCTTCTGGGAAGGAGCACGCAGGCTTCAGAGCCAGGCTGACTGGGGCCCAGATCCCTGCTCCTGCTCACTTAGCCAGGGAAGGGGCGGAGGTGCTCTGTCCCCAGAGCCTCAGCTTTATCGTCTATAAAAGGGGTTACTGGTTCCCACTTCCCAGGGGTGGTCCAGGAGTGGAGGTGGCGATGGTGACACAGGGCTTGGCCCTAGGCCATTTGTGCCCCTTCCACACGTGTCAGGCCCCTTGGAAGATGCCAGAAAGGTGGTGGAGGATCAGCGTAGGGCTCTCTGAGCTGTGTGGTTGCTGCTGGGGCTCCGCAGCCACGTGTGCCCCCATGGCGAGGAGGTGGTCCTCCCAGACTCAAGTCCCTCCTCTCACCCTCACCACCTGTCCCTGACATGCCCAGGACTGGCCAGGTGGTCAGCACTGTCCCAGTCCCTCTGGGCCTGAGCTCCAGGGTATCCGTGTTTGTGTGGGCGGGGCTGGGCCCCTGCCACCAGGCAGTCCTCCAGGATGGTGGCTGGGACTGAGCACTTAAAGGGGTTGTAGCCACCACCCAGGCGGGGTGATGAACCCGGTTTTACAGATGAGCAAACGAGCTGCTCTGCTTCCCTGCAGGGTAGTGTCCAAGAAGGGCCTGGCTGCACAGTGTCTGGCCTCCCCCAGAGCTCCTCAAGGGGCTCTACCTGTCAACCCTGCTTCAACCTCCTTAACTCCCTCTGGCTCCCGCCCAACCCCAATCCAGAGCCGCAGTTCCTCCCAGGCCTGCACCAGCCCCACCCCTGCAAAACGGGAACTAAGCAGAGAATGACCTGGAGAACAGGGCCCTTCTATGGCTTGGGGTCCTCTCCTCCCCCACCTCCAAGGCCTTGAGTGACATACCCCAAAAGACACACACACATGTGCACACAGAGACTCACGTGTGCCCCCCGCCCCACAGTACAACCCCACAGTCCTTCTAGAGCCTGGGTAGGGAAGGGAGGGCACACAGCACAGAAGGGGCCTGGTGTCTGGGATGGTGCCTGGCAGCAGATGCCCAGTTCCCAAGCCTGGACAACCTCTATAAAACTAGGGGGAGGGAGAAGGAAAGGGCTCTGCCCAGGCCCTGCAGGCTGCCCTCCACCTTGGCACCCCCTCCCCTGCCATGGAGTCACAGTTCTCAGTTCCTTCCCAAGAGGCGGGTCTGGAGCCCTGGCATCACAGCCCAGGCAGCTCCCGAGGGGAGGGCAGGGCCAGGACAGCCGGTGGGGGCCTCTGGGGTGCCTGAAGCAGACACCGCTGTCTACCACAGTGGCGGTCCGGGTGTGCTGGCCCAGGCCGGGTGGGGACAGTGGATACAGAACCAGGCAGCCAGCCCCTCAGGGTGGGCAGAGCCCCGGCTGGGGTGCTGAGGGGCACAGAAGCCCACAACTGGGATGGACGGTGGGGTCTGGGCCCAGGCGGCTCTGCTGGAGGCTCCTTGCTCTGAACCTGAGCCAGACCCCTCCATGGCTCTACTGGGAGTCCTACCAGGCCGCGCTACGGCCCTTACCTTGCGCGAGAACATCAACTTTGGCACCTTCCTCCCAGAGGGATGCATGCAGGGGGCGAAGCGAACAGCATGGCTAGAGAGCGAGCTGAGGCCCACCAGCCCAAAGTGGGAGATGCTCCCGCTCAGGCCCAGACACCCGAGAGCCAGGCTGGGGCCCTGAGCCCACAGGAGAGGACTCTCCCGCCTGGAGGAGTCTGGGGTGCTGGGAACGTCAGGAAGCCAGAGGCAACCAGTCCAACCCCCACTTGGCCACCAGGACAGACCTGTCATCGTTCCCCTTCCTGCCCCCTTCCCACAGGCCCTCCCCAGCTCTGCCCCCTGCTATTCCGCCTTCCTTCTCTTTCTCTTCCTGCTTTTTTGCTCTACTCCTTCCCTGAATGTCTATCCAGCAGGGGGTTTTTAGAGCAGTGAATTAGACAAGAATTCCCTCCCTGCCCTGTACCCACAAGCAGATCCACAGAGCCTGGACAGGAACCAGTGGGGAGAACAAGCCTTCGGAACTCAACCCCTCACCTCCACCCAGGGCCCTGGACCCCGGGGACCGTGGGGGCCGGCGGGGGCCTACCTTGGCCTTGCTGATAGTGCAGTGGAGGGCGTTGTTCTCCTGGTCATAGAGGAGGCTGAAATCCAGCGTGCCCAGGGCAGCTGCGGACAGAGGGCTTAGGTCACTCGTCGGCCACACTGTGGGCGGGGGAGGGTCGCCCACCCACAGCCGCACAGCGCCTGCCATTAACAGAGCACCTGCTGCATGCAATCCCTCCGCCCAGTGCCCCAGTCCCACCAGCCCTGGGAAGTGAGCACTAGCCCCCTCAGGTTCCAGAGGAAGGAGGAGTGGAGGTTCAGTGAGGGGAGCTCAGCCCCTGTGTGGTGCTGGGGTGCCTGGCCTGTGGCTGGTCCAATGTTGTACTTCCCTGTACAGGACACTCAGCTAAAGGTTCCCATCCTCCTGCCCTCCTTGTGCAACCATCAGTCTTGGCTCCATGCCTTGGTTTCCCTGACCTGTTAAATGTCACAAGGCGGGGCACCTGGGTGGCTCAGTGGGTTAAGCCTCTGCCTTCGGCTCAGGTCATGATCTCAGGGTCCTGGGATCAAGCCTGGCATTGGGCTCTCTGCTCAGAAAGGGAGCCTGCTTCCTCCTCCCTCTCTGCCTACTTGCGATCTCTCTCTCTCTGTCAAAGAAATAAATAAAATATTTTGGAAAAAAAAATGTCACAAGGGTTGTGTGAGAGGGCCTCGAGAGAAGCCCTGGGGCCCTAGCTGGGCTGACTGGCTGATCCACCCCCAGCAACCCTCGGGGCTGCAGCTCCCCAGTCTCTCTAGTCCCTTGGGGGGCCCGGGGCAGGCGGCAAGGAGGCACCTAGGTCCTGGCACTGCTCCCGGCCAGCCTCTGAGAGGCAGCAGTCGATTCCCTAGGGCTGGGTGGAGCGTTCGGCGGTAATTGGGTGCACCTGTAGCCCTCGGGGGCAATCACACAGCGCAGCTGTGGCAGCCCTGTTCATGTGGCTCCTGGCATAAGGGCGGGGTTGCAGGTGCGGAGGCAGGCCTCAGGGGCAAGTCTTGGACAGCAAGTTGCGCACTGACAGGAAGTCTTTAGAAACCCAGATCCTGCCAGACTGCTGGGCTGCTCAACTGGCGTCCACTCATTCATTCATCCATTCTTCTTTACCAAGCCTTAGCATAATCAGGTGGACTCCAAGGATGAAAACAACCATAAGGCGGGGTTCCTGCCCCAAGGAATCCTATGCTATTCTGCCCCATGGCGTAATGGGAGAAACAGATGAAAAGAATCAGCCCTAGCAGAGTCTGGTGAGCCAGGAGTGATAGGGGTTCAAGGGATACGCCTTGCCCGGCTGTGAATGGGGGCGACCAGGGAAGGCTCCCCAGAGGAGGTGATGCTTCATCTGGGCCATGAAAGATGAGTAGGAGTCGGCCAGGCACAGGGGTGCCCAGGGGGAAGGGCATCAGACCTTAGGCTGGTTGGACGAGGGGGGCTGGGCAGTTGGGCAGAGGCTGGGGGGAGGGCGGGGCTCTGTTCTTCAGGCCAGGGGCACCCAACATGGTTGGGCAGAGCTCAGCCACGCTCATCTCTTTACATCTGGTCCACGGCTGCTTTTGCGTGCCAAGGCCGGAGCTGAGTAGATGCTGTTGGCCCGCATATCCCTGGGCTCCTGTGGGGGTGGCGGGGTGGGAGGGGGCGGTGCTAGCATGGCAGCATTTGGCTTTGCGTAGAAATGGGCAAGTGAAGGCCCATTATATAAAGTGAGCTGCCCTTTATTCCGAGGTGCGGGCACTGAGCTGCATGTCTTGTTCCCTAGCTCCTGAGACAGGGTTAGGAAGGCACCTGGCTCATCTCTGTCCTTGCATATCTGGGGTACCGAGACTGGCCCTCGGACACCTCACCCCGGCGGGGGGGTCAAGTCCTGGCCGCGTGCCTCCTGGCTGTGTGACTTTAGACAGCATTTGTGCTCAGTTTCCTCATCTGCAAAATGGAGACACGATAGTATCTGCCTCACGGCATCGAGCTGTAACAGCCCCTGGGGTACAGAACATGCTCAGTATGTAATTATAGAAGGAGCAGACCCACCCAGGGGATTTTCCTAGATAACCGTACTTGCCCCCTGAGACGCCTTCTGGAATGAACTCGTTACAAACTGGATCACTCCCCTCCCAGCCTTTGTGAAGAGACTACACAAACGGTCCCTTACACCCTTCTGCACGACCTGAGTCACCGGTTCTGGGTGTCACGGTGGTGGCCCAGATCCAGGGATCCCCAGCATGAGGTTTTCCGAGGTTTTCTCCATTTTTCTGCCTCCTCCTTTGCCATCAGCTTGAAACTCCTCTTAGAATACTTGTCTCTGATTGCACAAGCAACCCGCCTGCATTTTCAATGGTCGCTTGTTTCTTCTACACAACCAGGTGTGAATACTTGCCAGAATTATGCCCAAACTCTGAGTCAATAGGCCTCGAGCAGAGCCCAAGTTGGTTTTCCTGAGTCGAGTCCATGTGCTTTGGTGCCAGCCGTACCTGGCCCTCTGCAGCCTGTATCAGGGCTCCCACTTGTGCAGGCGGGCAGGTGGGGGGTGCCGGAAGGGAGGTAGGTTTCACCATGCCCGTCACAGCGAACACAGCCACAGGCCTGAGATTCTCAGGTCCATGCTTTGATGATATTTTCCAAAGCCGTCGGCTTGGCGTGACAGTCGGTTGGTCTGCTCTTCCGTTCAGGCCTACCCATGGCTTGTTCTCTCAAGACGTCCGCCTCCAGAGAGGAGGGACCCGGCCTCAGCCACACCAGTGACATCAGCGAAGAGGGCATGTTCAGTCCACACGGCCGGTCCCGTCAAACCAATCTGCCTTCCAGCCGTTCACAGGCGCGGGGATTTGGTGATGCCCATGTGTTAAGATACACACCCTCCAATCCCTGCCCATTTCCCGCTCTCAGAGAAGGCCAGCCAGCCAGACGGTGGGGGTCACCTGCTCCCCACTGGGAAACTCAGACCCCGGAGAAGAGAGGAGCCCCTTTTGCTGGCGCTGCAGGCATCCCTATTTAAGGAGGGCTGATGCGGCTCGGTGAAACCGACACCTGTCATCCATTCCCAGGAAGGAACAGCGCACCCAGCGCCCCTTCACGCAATGTGTGATTTTTTTTTTAACTCCAATGGAGGTTTTTGTAAGAAACAATAGTTTATTAATAGAAGCATCGTCACCATTTTTAGAGATCTGCTGGTGGTGGAGCTCTCTTAGGGATCTTACAGTCCAATGTCTTCATTTCCATTCAGCAAAATGAGGCTCAGAGAGGGGAGGTGACCTGGTCAGGGCGGCCCAGCAGAACTGGACACAGAATCCAGGCCTCTTCACTTCCATCCTGACAGTTCCTGTCTTAAGCCTAGTGGCTTCCAACATTTTTTTTTTTTGTCTGCTACTTTGTGAAGCTGAAATCTTAGGGGGATGCCACAGAGAAACAGAAAAGCAAAGCTGTTCTCAGGGATACGGGGGAGGGGCAGTGGCTGGGCTGCGATCCTAGAGGGGCCTCTGAGTTGGAAACGCAGCCATGGGCTTGTGGTGCAGGTGAGGAGGCCCCTAAGGGCAGGCAAAGGGGATTGTCTGTGTGAGCCATGGGGTCCTGCCCTCCAACCACAGAAATCACGTGTCCTGGCCAAAGTTTACATCCTTGGAAAAATAATGAGGGTTGGTCACTAATGGGCCTTGGAGAGTTGTCACCCGCCTGTCGATAATTATAGAGCTTTAATGGGGATAATTCAGAGAAAATCAGGCTCAAGCCCCGGTCAGTTCCTCTAAGGCCAAACACCCCTTTACTCTGCTGATGGAGACTGACAGCATCATTCTGACCTTGGTTTGCACCTGAACCTTCCTCACCCGTATACCCTTGGGAATAGGAAATCGGTGCTGGTTGTTTTCCTTCCTTCCTTCCTTCCTTCCTTCCTTCCTTCCTTCCTTCCTTCCTTCCTTTCTCTCTCTCCCTAAGAAAAATGTCAGCCTCACAAATAGTTTTTAAAAACTGTGGCAAGAACCACAGAAAATTGGTCAAGCCTAGTTGAAACCATTTCATAGTTGGGGAAACTGAGGCACCAAACCAAGCACTGCAGGGGGTACAAAAAAGAATGAGTCATCTGTCCTTGCTTCCCTGGAGCTCAGAGGCAGAGAATTAGAACTTTAGGACCCTCAGAAGTCTATTCATTCTCTTGCTTTCAATTATTCAAAGGTTCACCACTGTCTCCTGGACTCAGTTTAACCTCCTAGGTGTAGCATTCAAGGGCCTCTATGATATGACCACTCTGGCCTCATCATGGATCTTTTCCCCTTGCTCAGCCTCTTGACTACGGCACCTCTGCTGGGCTGTTTCCTTCACGTCTACCCTTGCACACAGCAGTCCCCCCCACCAGGAGCACCTCTCTTTCCTCCTTCTACTCAGCCAGTCTGCTTCCTCCTTTCTCCCAGGCTCAGAGCAGAGCCTTCTCTATGGGTAAACTCTGTGCAAAATAGCGCTTCCCATTTGGCTTCCTGCCTCCCTGTCACCGCTGGGCTACTTGCTCATCTCAGTTTCCCTGAACTCCCTCCTGTCAGAGACCAAGTCTCAGGCATCCGTGAATCTCGAACAGTACCTGACATACAGCTGGTCTTCTAATGTTGAGTACCTAAAATTATGGTCTGAGAGCAACATCTCTGGGCTCCACGGAAGGGGATGCAAAGCCAGCAGGGACTGAGAACCGCTCCCAGCTGAGGGCCTTGAGGACAACACTTCCTCCACTCCATCCCTGCCTCCAACGGCACCACTTCTGACCCCACCCAGCATGAATCACGCAGAGGCAGGTGTCCGCACGGGCATGTGATGCCATTCTGGCCAATGGGACAGAAGGACAGGTCTCCTGCGGACCCTCGGAGAGCTTTCCTTGATTTTCAGCTGAGATATGGGCAAGGAAACTTGTCTTTGTCAAATTGAAGATCTTATGGTTACATGTGACACCTGGACCTGAAACGGGCACCCAGGACCAGGAGGGAGGACACCCTAAGGAGAGCAGAGCATGGCCGAGGGGAGAGGGGGACAGAGCCATCACCTTTGAGGATGCCAACGAGCCACTCCCTACGCTTATCTGGGTGTCACGTGATCCCAACTGTCCCCACGGTTTATCACACTTGGAATTTTCTGTTACTTGCAACCCGAACATTCTAGTCCTTATAGCTTGGAAGAAGGACCTGGGTTTCCACAGTTGGAGGCTGGGCGGGAGACGGTGGGCAGGGGAGGGACACGTGCAGATGGTGGGGCCCAGGGCCAGGCTGGGGGACAGCAGGCAGCGGAGTCCAGCTTGGCCAGCCCATACTGTAGACCAGTGGGAGGGAGGACACGTCTAACCCTGACATTGACTGCCTTTGGCCCCTATTAGATCAGTTTGGAACATGTGAATTTGATGCTTGGGTCTTGAGGTGACTTAATAAAGGACGAGATTTAAAGAGAAGGGGGAAAAAACGTCGAGTAGAAAAAGTCTTTCATTCTCAGCCTTGGAAAACAGAGCAACCGCCCTAATTTCTTTTTGTTAGAACAGAGATAATCCAATAATTAGGGCAGCAAATAGCATAACCCTGGCTAAAGCCGTAAGGAACCATCTGGCTTGAATCACTTAGGCTAATTCTAGGGATCTGGTTGTCAGAGCCTAGAGGGGGCCCGGGCCTGGGGTATGGGCTAGGGAGCGGTTCCGCGGCAGAACCTGGTCCCACCACAGAAAGGAGCCGAGGTTTCTGTGTTCCCGTGCCTGCAAAGTCTGCTCAGCTGCTGATGGGATCCAAGCCTGGGGAGGGCTGCTCCTTGAAGGGGATGAGGGGGCCCAGGCTGGCCCTGGCTCAGCCATACGCCCTCCTCCTCAGCTCTTTTCTGCAGACTGCCTGATGATATGAGTGTGGCCAGCCCTCCATCTGGGCGGGCAAGGCTGTGTTCCCCATGGCCTTGCGCTGCCGACCTCAAGTGAGTCTGTCCCCTGTGAGGATGCGTGAGTTCCCTGGGTCCCGAGCCCTGGTCCTGTTCCCCTTTGCCCCACTCTCTGCTGCTGGGTCAGTGCTCAGGGAAGGAAGGACTGGAGTCGATGGGCTGAAGATGAGGCAGTGGCCTGAGTTTGGAACTTTCGGGCCTCCTTCTTGCCGGGGTTGGGGGGGGGTGTTTAAGGGAGAGTCCAAAGAAACGACAGGATTTCTCACCACGTAACAGTGTGTCATCAGAGGGCCCTTGGTGGCACCAGGAAGGGCACCTGGAGTTCCTGTGGAAGCTCTGTCCTGCCCCGTTCACTCTCTTGGTCCAGCAGGAAAGATGCTGGAAGGGTAGCAAGTTCCTTACCCTTTCTTCCAGAGGTGGCTTTGGGTTCAGGGCATCCAAAGGGGTGACTTGGGTCCCAGTTAGGGCCTGCCCAGATGCACAGTAGGTGAGGGGGTGCTATGTGCCCAGGGTGCCAGGAGTGGGGCGAGGGGGTATGGTGGGAGAGATCCAGGCACAGCCCTGAGGGCATAAACTCTCCCGACCCAATTTCCCAAAGCTGGCAGGAAAGTGAAGGGAGAGGACTGTTCCCCACCTCCAGGCCCGGGAGGGCAAGGCCTCAGTACACCCGGTGCGGGCCAGAGTGAGGAGGTCCAGGCCCAAAGAAAGTGCACAAGGGACAGTCCCCTCCTCAGAGGGTGGACAGGCCTCCCTAGGTAGGACGATGAGAGGTAGGCCACCTCCCCCAGTGGTGCTGGTAATCTCCACCTTCAGCTTCCAGAGACACATTATCTGCTTGAGGAAACTCCAGGCCCCTGGCCCTAGGCCCACATGAGTCCTCAAACCAGGCGCGGCCACCCTCGCTGCACTGCACGCGGGAGGACCCCGCCGAGCGTCCCTCGGCTAAACCCGCGAGAGACCCCTGACCAGAAAGGTCCACCTCCCGGGCCAGGCTGGTGTGGCCGATTTGAGAGTGACGCGGCTGGGGCTCCAGCGGGGCTGGAGCCCTAGCGAACAGCGCTACCTCCCAGCCCCACCCCCATCTCGCGCCAACCCCTTCCGAACCAGGCGGCAACCTCTTTGGCCTCGGTTTCCCCTCCACTCCCGGTTCCGACGCGGCAGGCACCTTAGAGACCGGAAAGGCGGGGAACGCTCGCTGGCCCTGCCCGGCCTTGGCCCGGGGGGACCCCCGGCGCCTGCCCCCTCCCCGGGGCTCGGGGCTCAGCCCGGAAAGGAGGAGGTGCGGGCTGGGGGCCCTTCCTGGAGGTGGAAAGCGGGCGTAACAGGTGGGCGAAGGTCGGCGGCCCGGGACAGAGCCGCGGCGGGGTTCACGGACGCGGGAGCAGGAACCGCCAAGGTTTTTCCAAAGGACAAGCGGCCCCGCGGTCCTCCAGTGCTTGGCCCGGGCGCCAGCCGAGCCACTGCGCTCTGCGGGCCGCCGGGCCCACTCGGGAGGCCCGCCCAGTCCCAGCCCCCGCGCCCGCCGCCTCCCGCCGGAGGCCGGCCCGCAGCGGGCTCCCGGGCAGGGAGGACCGCGCGGCAGGCAGCAACTGGTGTCTCCCCGGGGCGCAGCTCCGCCCTTCCCGGGAACAAAAGCCGCCGCCCGCACCGGAGCTCCCCGCCGGCGGGCCGAGAGGGGGCGCGGCGCGGGTTCGGAGAACCGGGCCCCGCAAATGGGACGCCCTCAGGGGGCGCCCCCAAACTTCCCACCTCTCCAGTGCGGGTCAGGGAGGGGTCGGGGCTGGGTCTGCAGGGCGCGCGGAGGGCGCACGGAGCAGGCGAGGGGGCCGCTACAGGCGGGGGTGGATACCGGCCAAAGGGGAGACCGCAGGGGGCCGGGGGACCCGCGGGGTCGGGGGAGCGCGCCGGAGGCCGGGCCAGGGGAGGGGGCGGGAAGTCGGCGAGTTGGAAACTTACTGCAGTCGTCGGACTCGTACCCGTCAGCGTCGGGCTCGTCCTCGGGCGGCTTGGCGGGCGGCCGCGCGGGGCTGGGGCCGGGGCTGGGGCCCGGGCTGGCGCCGTAGGCTCCGAAGAGCTGGTCGACATCCTCGTCGTCGTCGCGGGCGCCGTCGGAGGGGCTTCGGCGGCCCGCGCTGGCAGCGGCGGGGCGCGCGGGGGCGTCCGGGGGCGCAGCGGCGCGGGGCCCGGCGTCCGGGGGCAGGCCCCGCGGGAAGCGGGGGAAGTAGTCGGATATTTGCTTGATGGGCCGGATTGGGCCGGGGCACACGTCGATGGCCATATGCTCCTGGATGCTGATGGTCGCCTTCTCCCCGCGCCCCCGGAGGGTCATGCAGGCAACGCGGCCCCACCCGGGCGCGGCCCGGCCCCGGCCCGGCGCGGCCCCGGCCCGGGGTGGGGGGTGGGAGGGGGTGCGGCTCAGCAGGCCCGGCGGGGCGCGGCGAGGGCTGCGGGCATCGCCGGCGGCGCCCCCGGACGGTCCTGATGCGGCTGCTGCCTGCTCGGCGGCGGCCGGCTAGTGAGTGCCGAGGGCCGGCAGGCGGGGGGCGGGCCCAGCCCGCGTCACCCGGCAGCAACCAAGCAGTGTGAGTGTGCGGGCTGCGCGGGCGGGCGCGGAGCGGGGCGGGCGCGGAGCGGAGCGAGCGGCGCCGCACTCACTCGCGCTGGCACCGGCGCGCGCACACCCGCGGGCACCGGGCGCCTTCCACTCGTGCACACCGGCAGGCCCGCCGAGAAGCCGAGCGGGGAGCCGCAGGACGCACACTCGCACGTTCCCGCCCGTGCCAGCCCCCTGTGGGGTTCTGTTCGCTCTCACAGGACACACGCGGGTGTGCCAGATCTCACTCCAAGCACACAGGAGCGTGTGCAGACGCTTGGCAGAAGCGTCCACCGGCTCACACTTGCAGGACACATACAGGAACATGTACCCGTACAGGGCTGGTTGAGGTTGCTGTGGTACCCTACGCCCCCAGCACACACCTGCCTAACAGGATACACAAACACACCCTTGGAAGTGATCAGGGGACTCAGAGCACAGCCCTCCCCTCTCCCCACATCTACAGGACTCACGGCCACCCTCCTAGGAGTGTGGGGACAGGTTGCTGACATGCTAGGAGGACATGTACATCCTTGGTGGTCCAAGGTCATTGTAGGCACAGTCTGTTCACACTTCCTCTGAGGTCACATACAAGCACACACTCTCTGTAATCCTGAGTCAGTCCCTCACTTGGTCAGTGGAGGGCCCTGTCTCCCTCCTCTCCCCATGGGGACAGGGTGGGTAAAAATCTTGAACACAGGCTGTGGTCAGGAGAGGGTCCTAGGCAGAAGACCCCTTCCCAGTGAGTGATGGATGAGGCAGAGGTGGGGAGGCAGGGCCTTGCCTGCACACAGACTCAGGCTCCCCCACACAGTCAGAGAACTAAACAAATCTGGACAGCCCAGCCCCAGTGCTTTCCGAGAACAGAGCTCTGTTGGGAATGGCTGCTGCTTATACAGGTGTGTCTCTGGAAAGCCTTGGGCCTGGGCAGAATCCTGTTTACTCCCTGGTTTCTAGGGATGTACCAGAAATGCTTATCTTCCCGGCTGGGTCCCTTCCATGAGTCTGAATGAGGGGCCCCAAGCCTGTTTCCCTCCCTCCACCATAACCCCTTGAAAGGGTGGGGAGCAGAGAGAAGAGAGAAGAGGCCCTTTCCCATCACTTCAAGCTGCTACATTCTGAGATCTTCGATGTCTTTGAACCTCAGTTTTCTCATCTGTGAAATGGGGCTAATTCCAACCCACCAGCCTTATGGTGAGACCCCTGAACAGAGGTGCTCAATAGTGTTGGCTTTCTCTTCTCCTTTCCCTGGGGAGACAAGTCTCACTGGTGAGAAAGGATGGAGAACCACATGCTGTCTTGGGTTGGTTCTGCCCTGGATGGTGACAGTCACTGCGCTGTATCAAGAATGTTCACAGCGCTCACTGCATTGATTCTTCACATCATGCCATGTTGTAAACAGGATACACTGTTCTTATGTTCAGGTGAGGAAATCAAAGCTCCAGCGCATGGACTTACCCACAGTGATGCCGGCTTGTAGCAGAGCTGGGATGAGAAACCCAGTTGTCCTGACACCCCCTCCTCTGTCTCTTCCTACCCCACCCCTACAAATCTCTAGGGGTCAGAGCAGAGCTGGAAACACAGGTTAAATGTTGTCCCCCAGAGCTCTTCCTGAGCTTCCGGGATGGAGACAGCCAGAACTCAGGAGGAAGAGGAGGGGAAGTGGGAGGGGCCAATAGTTTCAGGGGTTACCTTAGGAATGAACTGGCCTGGGGGCCCCCTAAGGACCATCTGGGATCCTGGTAGGAGAAGAATCCAGCCTTCGAGGAGTCAAAGGCCAAGGGAAGGACAGAAGAGGCTGGAAGCCTAACACAGTGGATTTCTCATTCCTGGGAATGCTAAGGGGATTCGTCCTTAAACAGGCACAGAGTGACTCTGTCCCAAGGTGGTTGTTTCACAAAGTGATTATGTAATGATACGGGTATTAAAATACAGACACACTGAAGCATCATTTCATAATTCTTTCACTTCAGGAGAGAGAGAGTACTGTCATCTTTTCACAATTGGGGAAACTGAGGCTTCAGGAAGGCAAGTGACTGGGAATGAGAGTGGATATCCTGACCCCTGACCCTGTGCCCTTTTGACGTCAAAGGTATACCTCTGGGGGCGCCTGGGTGGCTCAGTTGGTTAAGCATCTGCCTTCTGCTCAGGTCATGATCCTGGGATCGAGCCCTATGTGGGGCTCCCTGCTCAACAGGGAGTCTGCTTCTCTCTCTCATTCTGTCCCTCCCCTTGCTTGTGCTCACCCTTTTTCTCTCTCTAATAAGTAAGTAAGTAAGTAAATAAATAAATACAATTAAAAAAATTTTTTAAAGATTTTATTTATTTGACAGAGATCAAAGTAGGCAGAGAGGCAGGCAGAGAGAGACGGAGAAGCAGGCTCCCCGATGAGCAGAGAGCCCGATGCGGGACTTGATCCCAGGACCCTGGGATCATGACCGGAGCTGAAGGCAGAGGCTTAATCCACTGAGCCACCCAGGTGCCCCATAAATAAATAAAATTTTTTAAAAAAAGAAAAGAAAAGGAATATCTCTATGCTCACTGGGGTGGGGATAGAAGGGCACTGACCTCTCCTTCTGGCTTCTTGACCTTCTGTGGGTCTGGCTTTTTGGAAGATCAGCTCACAGCTTTTGGCTCTGCAGGTACTGGCTCTCAGAGGGCCTGGAAGAAGTGGGGAGGGCCCAGCCTCCAAAGCACTGAGTCAGGGAACCCTGGGATACACCTTGGAGAAAGACGTGGCATATGTGGACCAGTCTCCAGCAAGGGGCAAAATGGAGAGCCACACTGAGATGGGGTAGAATCCCCTGGAGGGATAGAATTGGTGCTATCTGAGCAGGTTTCTATTTTCTAGAAAGAGTATGGGCTGGAGAGTCAGGCAAATTTAGACTCAAAAGCCACTGTCTCCCAGCTCCTAACTATGTCTGACTTTGGGCAAGTTGCTTCCTTAGTCTCGTCCATCTCACTGGTGGCATGGGGGAGGACACAGACAATTTTGTGAGAGATGCTGGAAAGGAGGGATATAAAGTGCCTGGCATGCAACAGGCACTCGGCCAATTGTAATTCTCTTTCCCCTACCTTCCTGGTGCAAACCATCTCTGTATGCCCTGTGCCTGCCCCTGTTTCCCTACCAGTGAAGTGCAGTGGGCCGCCCTCTTCTTGTCTGCTGCAAGGACCAGGTGAGGATGCTGGGCGAAGTGCTGGGAGAAGTGAATGTATTTGCCAAGGCTGGGGTGCTGGCTGGCATGAATGAGGATCTTTAAGTCCGGACCCCATCCGCCACATCGCCTTCCATGTTGGCAGCTGGATCCAGTCTGCCCTCAGTCACAGCCTTCAGGAACCTTGGGCCTACGCTTCCTCCCCACCTGCTTCTCCTAACAGGCTTCTGAGAACCACCCCCACCCCCTAAGGCCTCCATCCAATGAAGTAGAAGTGGGTTCCTCGAAGGAGGGCCCAGGGTTCTGTACCAGCAGGACGCTTGTTAATAACGCAGATTCCAGATCCCTACCTCACACCCACTGACTCAGATATGTGTGTGAAGACTCAGGATGCATCTTAACAAGCACCCCTGAATTATTTTTATGCAAAATTATTTTTATGCGAATCGCTGGGTTAGAAGGTGCTAAGGTTTAATACCCTGATTCTCCACCCATTTTGCTGCCTCGAAACTGTCTAATGTGCAACACCCAGGTGGGGGTAGGTGTTGGAATTTCTAGAGTGCTTTGGCAGAGTCCCACACACACCACTTTGGGCATTGTGACTTCTTTTCCTGGCTGAGAATGACCAGTTAAAGCCTTTCCTTCCAGAAGGCGACAGACATCTTAGGGGAAATGACCCTGCACTTGGCTGGATGTTCTTTCTTGGTTGGCATCTCTGGCTGGCTGGCTGGATTCCACGGGCCCGGGGAGGAAGGGCCCTCCCTGGCCCTGCCCTGACATGTATCCCCAATTTCCACTCTTCCCGGATTGCTGGAGGAGCTCTTGGCATGTTGTGCTGAAAGAACCTTCTCTATATTCCTAGGAATCTTTTACCCAAAGGAGGGGCTGATGGGGGAATTCTCAGCACCGTGGCTGGTTGGTGAAGAGGCCTCCCAGGGGCTCTTAAGAATCCGTACTTTCCCAAGCATATATTGAGCCCCTCCCCTGTGACAGGCCCTGTGTTACATTCTCCAGGGGGCCTGGTGGTAAAGTCCCCCTTTTCTTTAGATTCCAGTGATGGAAAGCAGCCCGCTGCCTCCTCCTTGCCCCGCACTGTGGCCTCAGCATGGGAAGTGTGGTGCAATACCGAGTAAGCGAGGCCCCAGAAGTGTTTGCACGGTAGCCTGTGGCTGCTGAGGGGCACGCTGGATGTGATCATTTATTACGCATGCACATTCTCATAAACACCTTAAATGCATAAATGCATTTACTAGCATTATGCCTACCAGTGGGGAAAAGGTAACACTTACCTGATGGTGGTGTTTTGTAGGTTTCAAATGCTCCTGAGCTGCCGGGAAGGGCTAAGTGGCTTAGGGATGCTCGTCGCTTTCCTCCTTCTGGGACACCTGTCCAGTGGTGTGCGGACCACAGATGTGTGAACCCCTCACCTGCCCCTCTTAATTCCCCTGTGAGGAAATGGGCCTGCCGAGATGGGGGACCTGGCCCAAGGTCACAGGAGGCAGAACCCAGACTCACACCCAGGGGTTGGGTGGAAGGACCACAGCTCTGTCTCTGCTGCTGGAAGGAAAGAGACCCAGGGGAGAGGCTTACCTGCTTGGAGGGACTGAGCCTGGGATCAGGCTGCCTCTGGGGGAGATTGGATGCCAGCAAAGGATAAGACAGAATTCTTAGGGGCAGATCCGGAAATGACCTGCTGGAGGACAGGGGTGTAGTCTGAGGCATGGGAGACAGCCCAGATGAGGCACGGCCCTGCCCCCGGAAGCCCCAGGGCTGCTGGAGCCCAGGATCTTATCTGAGTGTCTGTAGG